AATAAGTCACCAAGATTTTTACAGCACTTTACAGTTTACAAGCCACTTGTGATCCTTCTCACAGCCAAACACTGAGCAGAAGGCTGCCTTCCCTAAAGGTAGTCCCTATCCATTGAAATAACTTCTTTCATGTACTTCTGTGTAGCAAGCACTGTTGAGTGTGGGGGCAGGGGGGGGTCACAAAGATGAAGTGTAAGACCCTGAGGCTGTCCTCAGGAGGCTCCTAGCTAGGTGGGGGAATGAAGAACATGTCATTTCAGTCACCAAGTCACACATGCTTTAACAGAGGCTGATTTGCACCATGGATTGAAGGGGGGGGGGTGCCATGTGATCTGGGTTTCAGAGCTTGCTGAGCAAAGGGAGGGAAAACATTTTTGGCAGAGGCATAGAGACATAGAGGGACTTGAATTTGGAAAGTGGGAAGTGTCAGGTGGAGATGGGGTAGGTGGAAAGGTGAGGGATGAATGACAGAAGATGAAGCTGAGAAACTGGGTTGCCATGTTATCACAAGGTGATTTGTCATGCTGGCAGGAAGAAAACCCTAACCTTGTAACCTTGGGCACATTTCTTACCGCCTCATCCAGACATGCAGCGCTGTCCAGGCCAGAAGAGTTATCCTACGAAGTCATAAACATACAGGCTACACAGGTGCGTAAGGGGACTTCCCAGGTTCCAGACCTATTCCCCTCAATCTTGTGCAAAATTTGGCCTCCAAAGACCTCATTTTTCCCTCTAATGAGACTCTAACTGCAGTCTCTGTTCTGACAGTTGAGAAACTTTGGTAGGATGAAAAATTAACTTCTTCCTGCCCAAAAAGGGAACCCTGAGGACACATCCCCTTCTTCTCTCTCTCCCAACTTCTCTCACAGGACCAGCAACGGAATGAAGAGCTGGCCCGGATCATGGGGGAGTTTGAGATCACAGAGAAGCAGAAGCAGAGTACCAGCAAGGGGGATGACTTGCTTGCCATGATGGACGAGTTATAGCTATGCTGACCACTCACAGCCCTGTCCTGTCCCAAGAAGATGCCTGATGACCACCCTGGGGGCAGCTAGCCTAGGATCCCAAGTACTGTTGCTGATTCGTCCAACTGAGACCTGTACTTGAAGTGCATTTTTATGTCATAATAAACTGTGGAAATCTCTCAGAGATCACCCTCTTCTGAAGGCACAAACATATGTGTATTTTCAGCAAAATATATTCTGGCTTTTAAACCAGACCTTCCCCATTTATTCCTAATTCTATGGTGACTATGCAAACATCCTAGGCCAGAGGCCAAGCCCAAGTCAGTAAAGAGGCACAGCTGTTACCATGGCAGGTTTACCACCATAGGTTTCTTACAGAGACCTGCATCTCACAGGTGCCTATAAGAACAAAAAGAATAACATGGGCAGGCATGGTGGTAGACACCTGAAATTCCATTACTCAGAACGCTGAGGCAGGAGGATATTAAGTTCCAGGTCAGACTGGGCTACATAACAAAACCCATCTCAAAAAAAGGGGGAGAGGGTGCTGAGAATATGGCTCCTTGGGTAAAAGTACTAGCTGTGCAAGCCTGATGAACTAAGTTCAGTCCCCAGAAACTATGTTTAGCCAGATGTGGGGCTGGATAGATGCCTGAGCAGTTAAGAGCACTGGCTGCTCTTGCAGAGATCAGAATTCGGTTCCCAGTACCCACATGGCAGCCAACACCAGTCCTTATTTTACTCTTTCTGTGCATGAGTGTTTTGCCTGCATGTATGTAAGTACACCATGTTATACAATACCCACAAAGTCAGAAGAGGGTGTTGGAGCCCCTTGAACTGGAGTTGAGGACAGTTGTTAGCAGTCATGTAGCTTCTGGGAACTGAACCTGGCTCCTAACACTGAGCAGTCAGTGCTCTTAACTGGTGAACCATCTCTCCAGCCCAAAATTAATTATTTTTTCTATATTTTATTTATTATTTTCATTTTATGTATAGTGTTATTCCTGCATGTAGGTAAGTGCACCCATGTCGTGTAAAGCCCATGGAGGCCATCAGATCCCCTGGAACTGGAGTTACAGAGAGTTGTTAGCTGCCATATAGGTGCTGGGATTCAAACCCAGGTCTTCTGCAAGAACAGCCAGTGTTCTTAACCACTGAGCCATCTCTCCAGCCCCCTAATTTTTTATTTTTTTTTTTGTCTTTTTTGAGACAGGGTCTCCCTGTAGCCCCAGCTGTCCTGGAACTCACTATGTGGACCACGCTGGCCTTGAACTCACAGAGATCCGCCTGCCTCTGCCTCCCAAGTGCTGGGACTACAGGCATACGCCACCACGCCCGGCTAGCCCCCTAATTATTTTTAAAAAGCCAGATGTGGTAGCTTGCATCTGTAATTCTAGTACTCCTATTGCAATATGGGAGGTAAAGACAGGAAAATTGTCTGGAAGCTAGGCCAGCTAGCCTAGAACATGCAACACAGTAGCAGAAACAAGAACAGATCCTGCCTGAAAAGGTGGAAGATAAGCCGGACATGGTGA